TGATTAATGCAAACGGTTTATTTCTGGTGACTTTTTAAATTAGAAATGTAGAATAAAGTGATTCTGATGAAATACCACAACGTTAAGCTCGTCACACATGATACGCTCATGGACCATCAGAAACCTGGAAACTGGAGTGTTTTGGGCGTTGGAGGATTAGGCAGAGTTATTCATTTAAGTACCTTTTGAAGAAGAGCAGTATGAGAGTGATGACAGCCAGCAGGACGACAGGCACCACACCGGCTATTAGAGGAAGGTAGTCATCTGTAAAACAAACAAACTGTTGAATTATTATACACTTGTAACTTCAGCAGACTATAAATGATTAAACACACACAGAAAAAGGCCTTCAGTTTCAGTAAAGCATAAATTTTATTAGCAGCCTTTGTTCTCTGTGAACGACTGTACTGACATTAAATGCAGCTCCACTTAATATTTCATGTTCCAGTGAGAACTATCACATGACAGGTGTTGCATTTTCTGCTCAACCATTTCTCATTTGCCTGAATTTTTTATAGCATAAAAAAAAATATTTAAAAAGATAATTAGGAATTTTTAGATGAACACATCAAATACTTTCCAAAATAATAAAAAAAAAAATAAGAAGAAAACATTGCTTTGATTCACATTTATCAGGGGTGTTTTTTTGTTTTTTCGCACATTGAAATTTGAGGCTGTGTTTGAATCTCAATATCTCAGGAAGTATTGAATATAGAAGCTTGAAATTGAAAAACATTTTTAAAATATAGGCATATGTTTCATTTTCAGATCCCACTTTGTAGATATAAACCTTAGTTTAGGGGGGATCGATCACATAGTTTGTGTTGTTAATGCTTGCTTAAGGATGGAACTTTTCATGAAGGTGTAATTTTTTATTTTTTTATTCATATTTTAACATCACTCTAATCAGAGACCATTTGATCAACTTGTCCATTATTGCAGATTCTGAATCAATGACATAATGAGAAATAACTGTGAAAGTTTCAGGTTTTTACCTTTAAGAATTTCTGAGTTTCTGCAAATTTCAATGTGCAAGAAAAGCTGCACTGAAAGTGAGTCACGGGCAATTAAAAAATAGATAAACAAAAAAGATTATCTCAAAGTTTTTGATACATCAAGCTGAAGTTTCACAGACACTAGGGGTGTGCATCTCTACCTTAAGAGGCGATCTAGATACATGGGTTACGATATGATTCACTAACGGTACATTTTAATACATTACGATGCGATTCGATACGATGCAGCTTGAATCTATTTGTGTGACGAAAAAAATTAAAGAGAAATGTATCAGGTCAGAACAATGCCATTGTGTTTATTTTTCAAATACACAGATGAGACAGACTGCTGTTGTATTAAATATTAGAAAATATTAACATTAACACTTTCAGTATATTGCAATCATTAGCTTTGCAAACTGAAAACATTCAACATGGCCTCAGTTTGTTCTGATGTAATTTATCAAACCAAGCTAATGTTCTGCTCCATGTCGTTGTGGTGGGAGGCTGCTGTGTGTGTTTCTAACACACAACACAACACAACACAACGTGCTTGTATGTTGTGGGTTTTGCTTGGTCAGACTGTAATATGTTTTGTGTGTCGTTATTAAACAGGCAGTGTGTGTCTGTGTTAAGTTGTGACTATCACCAGTTGATCTGGGCGTGTTTCCTGAATAACCAGCAGCTGTTAAATACCTGGCAGATTGGAAAAGATCTGTAGGAATGAAAAGGATCCTAATCAAACTGATCAGTGGCACAATGAGTAAAATGCTGAACTCGTATTTTTACCACTAGTCTACATGGTGTCGAATCCTCTCACCGGATTTGAAAAATATGTGTTTTTTATTTTGGTCAGCACGTTTGGTTTTGCTGTCTATAGATGCTATTGACATGGATATGGACGTTATTAACGACTGATGTTCATGTTTTTAGGCAAACTCTTCTTCATGTAGTATCTTTATCTTCACATGCATACAGGTCTTGTCAGGACGAATCTGTAAAGTGAACATCTGGAGCGCAAATACAGCAAACATCACTAGGGGAACATCAGTGCTGTCGGCCATGCTGTTGTGTTGTTGTTGCTACCAAACATGTTAAGCGAACATTACTCTCGTAATACATCACAGCAAGACTGTCGCAAGACTGGAGCAGCCATATTTCGTATCAGAGCTCCAATCAACCAATTTATAACTTTACAACCGGACATCGACTGCCCCGCAGTAGATATAGATCAATCCAGAGGCCCGCCAATTGATATATTCATATTGTTAAAGTTAAAATCGATTTCCAGTTCGTATCGGTGAATCTTTACACCCCTAACAGATACCATTGTAAATATCCATCAGAAATGGCTGAGCAGAAGCCTGCTGATAATTTGAGAATAGCCCCTTTGCATGTCTTTGGCCCAGTAATGTAAAAAAAAAAAAAAAAAAAAAAGTGTACCTGTGAAGCTGCAGGTTTTGGTTTTTTTTTTTTTGGCTCAATACAGATTTACTGAGTGCATGATTGGATGCAGCCTCAAAGAAGGATTTAGATGCTGTCAGTACTTTGTATTAGTGCAACGTGGATGTGGTCTCCAAACAAACCTTTCCCCGCCTCCTCCACCTGCAGGGTGTATGGCACAGAGCTCGTTTCCTGCCTGCCTATTTCGGCACATGTGTAGTTCCCAGAATCCTTTGCAATCACAGGGTCAATGTGGAGGGTGGAGCCAGACTTTTGGAGGGTGTGCCCATCTTTGAACCAGGTGATCTCAGGTTGGTGGAAAGAGCAGACTGAAGTACATTGCAGCGTGACCTTCTCACCTCGTCTTATCTGTCTTTCATGGTTGGAGCTGTTTATTCTCATTTTACTGACACCTAAAAATAAAATAAGCATTTAATTAGAAATTTTCACAAAATTTGTACTTTTTCTTTTTTAATAGCACACAGGTTTGAATGCAATTTTAAATTAGCTTTACTTACATTTTCATTACAGTATACTGTGTAAAATTGTCATGTATGTAATTTAGTTGGCCCAAAGCTTTCATTCATTCATTCATTCATTTGTTTGCTGCTGATTTTGCTGCATCTAGCAGCACATTGCATTCAGATCACAGTTACTACTTAAACATTATTATTGGCGGGACGACAGGAGTGCCAGATTAGCAGCTACAATATTTTCCATTATCTGCATCTTAGTGTAGCTTTTTTCAAACACTGTAGTGTTTGTGGCAGATTCTAATGAGGGGAATAAATTGGTCCTATTTAAAGTGGCTCAGAAGAGTCAGCAGCTGTAGTCAAACACTCATGAGAAGTTTAAAGGCCATGAAACTAAGAAAAATTCATTAATACAGCTTTCTACATCATCAAAACTGATAATTCAAGTTCCTGCATGTATATTTTTGAACCCAGCAGATTTTTTTATATTTCCAGAAAACCCATTTTACATCAATGGAAGAACTAAAATTCACAATTGTTTTGTGTGTGTGTGTGTGTGTGTGTGTGTGTGTGTGTGTGTGTGTGTGTGTGTGTGTGTGTGTGTGTGTGTGTGTGTGTGCGCGCGCGCGTGTGCGTGTGCGTGCATGTGGTGAAAATTCAGTTATTGGACTCACTGGAAACTCAAGACTGCCATGACAGACATATGAGTGTATGTAAACTTTTGTTCACAAGTGTATCTCCAACATGACCACAATTCATCCAGAATCACGTTTCATCCCAGTTGGTCCCAAAGTCATTGAGATCAAGAACTTCTTGAGAAACTAAATAGTTTCAATTGTCAGCTGAGAGTAAACTATGTGAATTCTTTTGGAGGATTACGAATGTTTGCTGATATTAACATTATTGTTGACATTATGCATCAGCATTCTCACCGATGACTGTGATGTTCACTCCACTTTTGCCAGTAAAATGTTGATTTTCAACATTCGCTTCCATCCTGAAGCGAAAGGTTCCGTTGTCTTCCATCCGTACGTCTCTGATCTGTAAAGTGCAGTTCCCCAACATGTCTCCCAGGTATTGAAAGCGACGGTGTTTGGTTTTTGACTCGCTGTCGTACACAGATGGCGTGGGACCCTGACATATCTCATGGTTCTTGCACCAGACCACCCTGCGGATCTTCATGGAAACGTTTTTTCCATGCTGAACTGCAGACTTTTGGAATGTGAAGGTGCAGGGCAGAGTGACCGTCGATCCCTTCACAGCACAAGCTGATGTAACAGGATAGCTCACATGTTGAGCCACAGCACCTGGAAAACACACCGTTCAAGTTCATAAATATTACTGAACATTGATGACAGAAGACTGTCCATTTTAGCTGAAGTCTGGTTAGATAACAACAATCTACATGCACATATTAAAGGGCCAGTTGGGTTTTATAGCAGTGGGGTTGTATGAGGTGTTTTTGGACTGTCTGTGCAGAAGCTACAATAGGTGGCAGTCAGTAGGATCCCAGTTTGGAGAAAATGTTTTTAAACCAGACAAAAAACAAAAAGAAACAACAACAACAACAACAACCACCAAAAAAACTGTCAACTGTTTTACTGTTTTAGTTTGATCTAAAACTAAATTCAAGTTATAGGAACTGAATGAAATTGTCTTGAAAACTGAATTTTTCTTTATCTTGAGTTCAGGATTGTCTCCTCTGTCAACACGTCTGGACAGTTTCAGGTAAGAGTGTCTGTTACTTATAGGTTGAACAAATGGGACATTTCAAGCAAAGCAGCAAGCCTTTCACAAATAAATGCCACTAAAACAATGAATTTGAGAATATTTTCAGCTGTGTTCTGACTAACAGTGGACTGGTGTACAGAGTTTATTCTGCTGATTCAGTTGATGGAATATGTTCTGCTGCACATAACGGATGTGAGTCACATTTCGCTGTGAAATTTGTAAATCCAACCGATCAGTTTAGCAAACTAGAGAATAAAAATGATCAAGTTTTTATGAGTGTACTCTGGTGTCATGGGAAAATGAAATTCGTGTTGTTTTTGCTTTCAAGATTTAAATATTGTGTGTTGAAATACACAGCTCCAGTTTAATAATCAAAGGTCACTTTTTTAAACATGGAAAAAAAAAACAATCACAAAAACTTCTAAAGAAAATTTAATTGAAGCAACTGAACTTTTAAAAAGTTTGTCAAACTAATCATTTGTGTTCAAAATGAGAGTAAATAGATACAGGATGCTCAAAAGTGTTTTTTTTTTTTTTTTTTTTACTAACACACAAAAGCTATTTTTGAACAGCTTCTTCTTCTTCTTCTTCTTCTTCTTCTTCTTCTTCTTCTTCTTCTTAAGTAATCAACTTAAAAACTTGTGTGTATGCTAGTAATCTTGAAGTAATTGAAAATATTTTTGACTGAACCCAATTCCACAAACTCAGTGAAGTTTGTTGGTCGAGCATAATTTCATTAAAACTCAAAAACATTACTGCACACTGTTGCATTACTTTTGTAGGGGGGGAAAGTACATAACCCACAGCTATTTTTCTTTTCTTAAAATACAAGTTAATTTAATCAATATAAAAAAAGGATAGAAATGTGTAATGGGCTTTAAAGTACAGATTACACAATAATTTCATATTTTATACAAGACCTGAACGGTGTTTAATAAACTTGTGCCTGGTTTTTATTTGCAAGGATTTGAAAACTCATTGAACGCCATTTTTCCATGCATGAGAGTGTATGAATTATATTTATGAATAAGAATTATTAGTGAAATATCACAATTAAAGTTACTTGTTTGGAGCCACAGAATGTTGTCATTCTATCAGGCAAAAACACTTTTTTGTTTGTTATTTTATTTACTTTGACTCAACTTAATTTTGGCACTTAACAGCTGAAGACAGAAAAACAGGGAAGAAACACAAGAAAAAAAATGAAGTAATTTAAAGAATCGCACAAAGACAGCAAACTTCTACTGATGTTATATCAGCTTAAGTATCCCAGCGTTGCTCCAATTCAGTTATTAAATCTTGCGTTGCCAAACCCACTGGACAGGATCAGCCTGTTCTTAATTAAATCTACACGATGCCAATAATGTTCTCAAACACAAGCTTTTGTGTTATTTATAAAAACATCTCCACCTTGAGGTTTGGGAGCAGACTTTGGTAGAAAACCTTTCTTGTTTTTCATTTTTGGTTTGTGGTTTTCAACACTGAGTCAGCAAGTTTAAGAAAAACTTGTATATCTAAGAAATAAAATGAAAAGTACAACTTCAGTATTACCTGCTAGAAGGACCGTAAAGCTCCAGAGGACCTTTTTGTCCCAAACTGCCATCCTCAGGTTTCTGCTACGTCTCTTTGGGTTTTAACTCACTTCTGCAGCCAGAAAACAAGACCGCTGATGGTCAGATTGTGAAATGATGCAGGAAACACCCAACTTCCTCCTTTCTTTCGTTTCATGCCAGTAACTTTTCTCTCACTTGAACAAGGCCTGCTTCTTTTAGAGCCATGTCGCCCACAAAAGAAAACTCGTTCACGCTTTACATGCTGTCATTCTTTGTTGTCAGAAGCCGTCACCTCAAGACGACTGGCAGAGACACTGGATGATGATGATGAAACAGCTGTCTGGTGTCCTCAGATCATTTGCAGAAAGTCAACACATTTAACAACTAAACTGGACATGTAGTGCAGATGTCTGATATTTCAGGTCTCCACAATGAAAAACATCATCACTTTCATTTCTTGTGTTTCTCATTACAGATATCAACTTTCAGACATCGACCATCTAATTCTGACTCGTCATATTTCTGCTTCAAGGTATCTCTTTTCTCCCGAGTTCAACGGGTCAACATTGTCCTTTTTAGAGTCTTGAATTAAATTTGAACTGCTCACAATGACTCAGTGTAGTTGAGATCTCAAACTGGAATCCTGCCGAGTCAGAGTGTGAATACTGATGTCTTGCATTCGAGCTCTGACTCAGCTAATTTTTTTAGGGAAAAAAAGCCAAATTAAGTGACCATGATTCGATGTTAAAACGCAATAAAAGGGGAAAACCTCTAAGGTGGGTAAATAGTTTTCCAAGGCTCTGTATACCATATTAAGGCAGCGCAACTGAAACTGTTCTACCACCATGTCAGATTAGTACATATTGACCACAAGTCTCTAATGAACAAAGCTCTCGTTCATTGATGGCAAAATTATGAAACTCATAGCAAAAAAGGGTTTTTTTTTAAAAAAAGTGACCAGAAAGAGATGGAAGTCTACAAATTAAGCAAAACCAATACAAAGCCAAAAAATAAATAAAAAAATACGAACTTAAAAATGAGCATAAATCTCCGCTCACTGAAAACAAATGAACAAAAAAAGCAGAAAATGAACACACACAAGAAAAGACTAGAAACTGTTGTGAAACAAGCAGAACAGATGGAGAAAGCCAACTCAAGAGAAACAAAAATGTTCACAAATCGACGCTACTGCAAAGATACAAAACCCTGAAAACAACTGAAAAGACTCAGAACTACACAATTAGAAGCAAAAGAAACGGACCTTAAGGAGACTCACTAAAAGGCAAAATGAACACAAATCAATGGAAAAGCAATAACAGAGACAAAAGGACCAGATGGAGGTTCAGACACATCAGTGTGTTTATTGTCATTTTGTGTGAGTTCCAGGTCAGTGTTGATGATTTATTAATGTTTTGTTTTCTTTTTTTAAAAGTGTGATGCACATTTGCATGATGACACCAAATCTGGGCAGATAGAAAAAAACCTAAATATTAACGTTCATTGCCAGTTTTCAAGTCCCAATTAAAAACATTTTAACTGACTTTTTCCCAGTTTAGAGCAGGTTTACAGTGTACAGTAATAATGACTACCTCACAGTCATTTATCCTACAATGATTTGGATCACAATTTGTTATTTTATTTGTGTGATGTGAATATATTAGTTTCTTTTTTGGTGCCACTGAATGACTTTCTTAAAAACCTGAGTATTCTCAGGTCAGTAGTGGCACTTTCTCCTTCCTGCAGCTGTGTTGCAAACTGAGCCTCGGGTTTTAGGCCCGGTTACGTGTTTGCACATTGGTTATCATTATGAAATTCTGACGCACATTTCCTGAAAGTGAGATGATTTTCTCACAATTACTCAAAAGATTTTGTGATGCAGACTGGAGTGAACAGACATGCTTGCTTGACAATCATCAGGTTAAGTTTTTCATTACGATTAAAGCAGTTTACTGATGGTTGTCAGTGCAGTCGGTGACACACAGCACAAAAAGCTGCTAATAGTTAACTCGGCAGGACCAGGTATTGTAAAAAAGTTGACATTTAAAATGAAGTATAAAGTGATAAAAGGAATATTTCAGAAGTAGATGTACTTTCCATCACTGAATAAGTCAGCAGTAACTAATATAATATAATAATAATTCTACAGCGACTCACAGCACTGACAGTGTATTAATTCAGATTATTTATTCTATCTCATGACAGCTTGATATTAAATTCATCTTCATCCCTTCACATGTTGTTTGCACACAAAATATGTAACTGTTTTAACTTTCAGACACTTTTTTAAAGGTTCATACACATAAAAACAGTCCATAGCTTTTATACCTTTATTTTTATTGACATGCATAATATTGTAAAGAGAAATCAGAACAGGCCCAGTAATGCCACATGAACATCTACAAACCTAATTTCTAGCAACAAACATCTTGACTGTAAAACATCCCTCGATAGAAAAATCTTTACTTTTAAAGACCAAAACAAAGATTAAAATGGACAGCAGCATATTCAGTTTAGTGCAGATTATTGGCAAACAAAGATGGTAAAGTAGAAGTGCATTTATTTTTAAGCAAAGCTCAGGAAAGTGTCAGAATGTGCAGACTGTACCATCTGACTGAGTGCTTCACTGACGCTGCAGTACAGAGTCAGTGGTATGAAGCTGCAGGATCCCAGTTCCTGCCGACATTCATGCTCCAGGATCAGTGGTGACTTCATCCAGCAGTGGTTTGAAGTACTCTGGCTCTTCAGCGCTCTAAAAGACACAAAGAACATGGAGAAAGTTCACAAAAAGATCAAATCAAATCATAAACCACATTGAATACACACAAACTCACAAACTGCTTTTCCTTATTTTCTAGAACAGAACAAAACCAAACACATTAAAACTCTTAATTAGCATATTAGCACTGGATTAGATAGTCAAAAATAATGTGCAAACAAACCAACATATGTTTCCATTTTGGATTCTTTAAAGTCGCCGCCTGGTGCTTCAATAAAACCTTCAGCTGTCATCATTCTCCAACCAGAACCAATATCATTGTGCTCTTTTTCTTCCTCTTTTGATGTGTTTCAGGATTACTTCATAGTCAGTGTGCATCTCTTAACAACCGTTTTGTCTCTGTAACTCTGCTGTGGTTTGCTTTTTGTCAACTGGACTCCTGAATGTCAAACATGTGCTGAATATACTTCATACAGAAACTATTTCCAGGATGTCAGCTGTTTGGAAAGTGACATCCTGAATGAGATTTGAAGTTCAGAAACGTACACTGAAGGACTGAAAAACTGCACGTGTTCATCCAACATTTCCTGGTTAAATACCAGGTTTACAGACTGATGTGTTGGTTTATACTCGACCTTGTTTGGTTCCTTCCATCTGCTGCTCAGAGCCTTGATCCCCAACACGGCAGAGCTGATGACGACGCAGAGCTCCAGGACCGACAGGATGATCAGGATGCCATTCATTCCTCTCAGCAGCATCTGGAGAAACACAAACAACAGCAGGGCTGCGCAGTTAAGGCCAAAGTGGTAATCACTGTTACTTTAATCAATACGAATTCATTCTAGGGACAGAATATTGTTGTTTCACAATAAACACAGCACTGCTCTCACTTTCATGTTGTGCTACACTCCTGCTAATGTACAAATCTTTGCACCAAAATAAGATTTAAAATAACCTTCATCAATAACTGCACCTATCATGCCTCACTGGTTGAATTTCTGGTAATTTGGAGACACCACAATTTACTGATGTTGAAAAGAGTCAAAGAAGACGTTCTAACGTCAGAATTAGCTGAAACCAACTGAATTTATCTACATTTTTATTTCTGTTTTTAGTAGGTTTTCTAACTTTTTTATTGCAAATGAGTCGATTATGCAGTGAACATTAAATGTCAGTGTTTAAAATGGTTTGTCAGATGGGAAAACATCTGCCGTATTTAATTCATTTTACTGATTATTCAAATTTTGATCATTAATGTGGCCTACTATTGGTTGAGGAAAGTGTTTGAAATTTACAACTGTAATTTAAACATATTTTCATTTATTATGGAGTTAATAATAATGAGCAGATTAAGTTCTTATTCGACTAATTTCCTTCAAACTTGGCTTCTTTCAACTACTACAAAGATTTTAGTACACATGATTACACTATTTAGTTTCTCAGTATTTCAATATTTTAAACTTTAATACTTTGGATTTCTGATGACTTTGTGTCAAAGACTCCACCCATATATGCTATAAAAAGTGACATCTTTCTCATATTGACTACATAAAGTCTCCAATTATTTGTTCAATGATCGCATAAAACAGACAAAAGCTGCAAATCCACATTTTTCAGAAGCTCTGGAGATCATGAACAACACCCTTAAAAAGCAAGTTGTACAATAAGATTTTGCCTGCTGAAATAACCTTTTCCATACTTACCAGAGACAGTTCTTTGGCCTCCAAGCATCTTTCCCTCAAGAAGTCCCTTGCCGGAGATGGAGTTGTTGTATGATGTCTTTCGTACCAGTAGTCATCATCACGGTCACAATACCACCATAAATCTACGTGTGCTATGTTCATGCTGTAGAGGACAATGGCTGTCAAGGCAAAAGCACCTCCTGCCAGATTCAGAACCACAGTGAGGATGACCTGAAACACAACAGTCATTACTTTATGCACAACTAGATATAAGTTAGAATTTCAGTATAAAATAAATATATTAAAAATCTTAAATAGAGCGGGCAGATAGGATGCATTTAGTGGCCCAAGAAGTTCATCTGGAGATAATGTGCAGATTTCTTTCTCCTGTGTTTCAGTGTTTCAGTCCACCTAGATTTGCTTCAGTTGACGACAGCACTAAATAGAACAAGTCCTTCTAAGACAAAAAAGTTGAACTACTCACCAGACATGGACTGGGGTACTTCTCAGACAAAATGCACATGATGCCAAACACAATGAACTAGACAAAAGACAAAAAGAAGAACAAAATCATCACAGTTCTATTCTAGCACGCAAATACTAAATAAAAAGTTGTGTATTAAATTTCTGTTATCTTTCATTGAGTGAAGATACCTCATCCTGTGCTCACACTGACAGAGACATACAGTAGCTGCTACCTTTAAAAAACTGCAAAGACTCTAACAGCTGCAATTTCTGCAGTAAAAGTTCTGTTGGATTTTAGTCAATGACACAATGAAAACATGATGTAGAGAAGAAAATCTCTAATCAAGCATTAGCTTGCTTACCAATGCTCCCAACCAAAAAGGAAACTTTAGATGTCCCATTAGCCACCAAGGGCTAGAATGAGAGCTGAGGAAGATGGCTCCAAGGCCAAGATTGAGCAGCCCAACCATGATCTGCAGAGTCTGTGAAACAGGAAGCCCAGTATGAACTACAAACATGGCACAGAACACAGCTCTCTCATGGTTTCATAGAAATATCTCGTATAAACACAACACCTGAAGCTCCAACGCAGGTACACATGATTTATTCAAAGTTTAAATCAGAATCAGATGGGGAAAGAAAAATGTATGAATTAAAAATCTGAGAGCATCTTGAAGCATTGTTGCTCACCCCCAGTGCTGACTGAGAAGTTCTCTGGATCCCCCTCAGGTGCTGAGACACCGAGCAGCAAACTGGACTGTAGCAGAGGCCCTTGAAGATCTGGCAGAGAGGAGGCCAAGCACTTTGAGGGTCCGAGGTCAAAGTGAACACAGTGACCCCTTCAGCCTTGGTCATAGTCACAGACATCCTGCCTGCTGCTGGACACTGGAAGACAGTATTCAGAAGACAGCATTGAAAAGTGCTGCATCAGATGAAGGCTGAACCCAAACTTCCAACTGTGTATGGACAAAGACAGGAACAACCCTGGTGGTGAGACTTAGAGCTTCTAACAGTTTCTGAAATATAAACTGGAGACATGGTGTTTGATACTGAAGGACTGAAGGATCTGATAAAAACACACCACAAAGGTACTAGGATAATAGAAACTGTAGGCTCACTGCAACATGGTGAAACAAGGTTAAAGTTGGATAGTTAGCAAAGTTAGCTGGTATCATGTAGATTTGGCTGGAATCGTTTGCTTCTGTCTGGTTTGTCCAGCTGACCAATCAGCTTTCGGATGAAGTTAACAAATCCAAAGATGGCTTCAACCAAATATTTATTCATTGTGGATTAAATATAATTGTTCTTCTTGTAAAATCGAGCAGTTGTTTGGTCTCTAAATGAAAATGTTTTGTTTTGTCCACCACCCAAAGATATTCAGTTCACTGTCACAGAGGAAAGAAACCAGAAAATATTCACATTTTAGAAAGTGAGGTTACAGAATTTATACATTAAAACACAAACCTAAAACCAATTAATCAGTTTTTAAAATAGTCGGTCAAAAAGTTGATGTATTGAAATGTGAAAATAAATTCAGGACATGCATTTAACAGTGTCCTTGTTAGTTTGCAAAGCGTAGATATTGTTATGTATTCATTTAATATCTACATTTATTTATACTTGAACCACTTTTCGTCCTTGCATATTTCTTATATTTATATGTACATTTTTCTGTCTCGTATGTGTGCATCTCTTATCTTAAAAACCCGGAAATGGAGATGATAAATTTTGCAGTGATTGTCAATCCTTTATGAAAGCTGTCTGGTCGATCAATACTAAATGTTACAGGTATTTCAATCACCTTCTTATCAGTGAAAGCAGATAATACGACAGAAGCAGCTTTGTATAATTCAGGGAAGTGTAGCAACAACATTAGCAAAACTAAAACAAACAAACAAAAGAAGAAAGAAAAACTTCTGTTTTCAGTACAGAGGCTTCAGGAAGAACAAAAACTTCACTGTTCTGACGGTTGTATGAGGGAGCTGATACTCACCAGGAGAGAAAATGTGGATTTTTAAAAGTCGCGGAAATATATTCCAACAACCTGACGCAGTTAGTTTAATTTCCAGGAAACCACTTGGTCTTCGTCGCTCCCCCTCACAGTCAGCAGCAGCAGCAGCAGCAGCACCGCTCAGAGCTGCCATCGGTGGCCGGAGGCGGAACTGCACCAACGTCACACTAAACCCCACCTGAAGCCTATGAAACACAAGCCATGTTCATAAGGGCTGTAAAATCGTATCAAAAGGCAAAACGCAAACATTTCCTGACTCCTGAAACAGTATATTTGTCGTTTCGAAACAAAGAACAGAAATTCGTTTTTGAATTACAAATGAAGTGCAGGTCATGTGATGATACCTAAAACCCATCTGCTGCCAGTGAACATGAGGAAATCTAGACAATATTCAACATACAAAGGGTAACACTCTTATAATAATTTTCTGTAACAGCAATGAACTTTGTGTCCTTTTCAAAGCCTTATTACTGAAAAGTACTATTTGTATGTAGTAATATTTCATAAGGAGTATTCACAATCACAGCAGCAGAGCTTGTGATATCACTTTTATTTCTGGGTTTTATGAAGGATGAAAAATGGCCTCAGAATACATACATGCAAATATGAATGATTGATTTTGATAATATCTAGATTTTGCTATATGAGCAATGAGTTGAACCAATGTCCTGAATTTATTTCTGCATTTCCATACATCAAGTTTTATTTCTTCATTCACTTGTTTCTGCATTTCCTCATCTATTTGTTTCCGTGTGTCAACTTTTGTAATAATTTCTTCTTTGACTCTTTTCAAACTAATCTGAGCTGCTGCAGTAACTGATGGAGACTCGAGGCTTCTCTGTGCACAGCCGCTCAGCTGACTGCAGCCTGCATGTGAGGTGTTTAAGGAACATCAGTAAATTGTGGTGTCTCCAGATTACCAGAAATTCAACTAGTGAGGCGTTCTAGGTACAGTTAATGATATTCTGCCTCTCAGAATATGCTCTGAATTCAGATGAAGGTTATTTTATATCTTATTTTGATGCAAAGATTTGTATGTTAGCAGGAGTGTAGCACAACATGGAAGTGAGAGCAGTGCTGTGTTTATTGTGAAACAACAATATTCTGTCCTTAAAATGAATTAGTATTGATTAAAGTAACAGTGATTACCACTTTGGCCAAAACTGTGCAGCCCTGCTGTTGTTTGTGTTCCTCCAGATGCTGCTGAGAGGAATGAATGGCATCCTGATTATCCTGTCGGTCCTGGAGCTCTGTGTCGTCATCAGCTCTGTCGTGTTGGGGATCAAGGCTCTGAGCCGCAGATGGAAGGAACCAAATAAGGTCAAGTTTGAACCAATGTATCTGTCTGTAAACCTAGTAATTCACCAAGAAATGTTGAATAAACACAATAAGTTAAAAAATGAGATTGAAGAGACTCCAACACACTACAGACAGGCATAAAATGACCACAAAGTGACAGAAATTGACTACAAAGAGACGCAAATGACTGCAAGGAGACACAAATCAATAGCAACGAACAACTGCTATGAAAGAACATATTACAGAAAAGACTAAATAAGTACAAAGGGACACAAAATGACTACAAAGAGAACAAACACAAGCCACAAGACTGCAAAGAGATACAAAACTGACAACAGAGACGCAAAATGATTGCAAAAAAACACCAAGATAAACAAAACAAACACACATATAAAACCGCAAAAGGCATAAATAGACTGCAAAAAGCCAGCATAACCACAAAAAGACAAATGAGTAGAAACAGACATAAAACGACTGCAAGGAGCTTGTAGAAATGGCACGAGATAAATTTATGAGTTGTGGTGCAAAAAGATTACAATTAAAAAACAATTAGTATGTTTAATGGAAGCACAGCAATGTATCACAACACAAATTTTGTTTATTTTGGAAATTACGGTTAGTATAGAGTTTTATAAAGTTTATCACAAAAACCTTGCTGGTTCATTACCATAGCCGGTATTGATCTGATTAACTGAGTGACAGCAGTGGGGTTATTTGCGCCCAGACTCGAGTAGTTGAGAAGCTCCCTCAAACTGTATAGTGGTCCTTGTACAGGGAGGGAATGGGTAGATGATTTCGTAAACAGCCAAAATGACCACAAAAGACAAAGCAGATCAGAACCACATAAACATACGAAGAAGATGGAGACGGTGAAGAAGAAGAAGACAAAGAAGATTAGGAAGACAAAGAAAACAACAAATAAGATTAAGACAGCAACGGAAAAGAAAGGGGACGAAGACAAAGAAGACGGCAAAGAAGACAAAGATGACGACCAAGATGAGGATTTTTTTGATTTTTGCAAAAACACTTTAATTACATTCATAAGTTTACAGTTTCACATAAAACAGGAACGTGTTAAAGTGTGTAACAATTCACCTATTATTTCCAAGGTGACAGTGTCACAACGCCCTATATTAAGGAAGTGGGCGGATCTGTTCTCAGCAGGGGTGAATGACAGACAAACACATGCATCCGTTTTGACTTCCAGCACAGCCTTTTACTTAGTACTCTTTACTTTATACCCTCCTCACGCTCGAGCGCATTCCTACAGACAAAACAGCACAAAACGGCTTTCAATAGAGTCCGTAAAGTTCAGCAAACAGTTTATTTATTAGTTCATAGAGATGTTCCACCACCTGCACGGCTCTGCAGGGTCACAAACACATGCAATACTTCACAGCAACTCGTAACAGGTGGCCGACGCCATCAACAGCTGATCGACTCACGGCTCCGCGCATCAGCCCTCCCGTGCGGCTACGTTGGATCCGGTCCCCAGCAGCTCTGTGAAGCAGTCAGTCCTCCCGTTCCAGTAACTTCAGATAATCCAAAAGTTCACAACGAGTAAAATCCACACTCCACGGCAACGTAACTCTGGGAAAGCCTCCAAGTCAGCGTGTGACGTCATTTCGCAGCGCGCAACTGCGCGCGTGCACTGCACTCACCTAAATGCAGGTTCACGAGAAGCCACGCCCCCAACATTATTGACATGCATTTAGGTTCAATAAACAATACCCGTGACCGAGGTCACAAAATATATTTACATTATTTCACAGACCAAGATGAGGCATCAATTCACCCCTGCTGGGTGCCTATGATGTAAGGACAGACCGGGCCTTTACAAGTGCTTCAAATACAACAATCATAAATAAAAAAAGATTTAAAAAGGTACATCAGTGTAATGTTCAGTCTATCAGAAAATCTGTAAATTCAAGCTGATCTTCAACTACAGTGCAGAGGATATTTTTGAGACACCAGATGTTTCTAAAACGGTCCAAATCTTTGATCATTTTGTAGAAATTGAATTCTACTTGCAGTCGACATTTGATGTTACAACAGAAAACTGCAGCAGCTTCTTGACTTACTTTGTTTTCAAGTTTTCTTTTTCTGGTTACATAAATTACCAGTTTTGCTTCACCAGAAATTAAATTGAAAAGCTGCCTTTTAAAAAAAAAAAAAAAAAAAAAAAGCTTTTCTGTATCCAGCACCATAAATAAAATTCCCAAAAGCCCAAAAAATATTTTTTAAAAAACAAAAAAAAAACATGGTCTCTTTAAAACCAGGTAAAATTAAGCCGTCAATGCTTGTGTGAATTATACAGAGGAGAGGGTCCGGGGTGAGTGCATAGAGCATCCCAGACAGAGCACAGCCCTGCCAGATGCCTCGATGCACCCTGAAAGGTGCACACAAACTGCCATTGAACTTCAGCATACTCTCAACATCACTGTGCAACACCCAGGTCTTGGCAATGAAACCGGGACTGAACCCAGACTTCTCCATGGTTGTCCAGAGGAAGCTGTGCTCAACACGGTCAAAAGCCTTTTCCTGATCTAACAAAATGAGACCAGTATCTATACCCAATGAGCTGGACACCTCCAAAACATCTCAAATTAGTTAGACATTGTCTACCATGGACCTGCAGAGCACACAGTAGGTCTGATCCGGGTGGATGACCTGCTCCATAGCTTCCCTCAGCCTGGTAGCTAAAACCTTGGACAGAATCTTGTAATCCGTACAGAGGAGGGACACAGGGCGCCAGTTTTTTATGTCCTGCAGATTGCCTTTTTTTGGCAGAAGGGTAACAACAGCCCTTTGACAGGACAGTGGCAAAGAGCCCGAGGCTAGACTTTCATTAAAACCCTCTAAAATATCAGGTGCTAAAATATTCCAGAAGGCTTTATAGAATTCGGTGGTCCGGCCATTGATGCCAGGAGCCCACCGTCCCTGCATGCTCTGCAGAGCAGCGTGGAGCTCCTCCATCTGCAGTGGCCTGTCCAGCTGAGAGTTCATCTCTGCAAAGACCTGAGGTAGTTCTCCACAGAACTCCTCAAACAGGGATTGGTTGTCCTCATACTCACTGGTATACAGAGAGGAATAAAAACCCACAGCTCGCTTTCTAATCTGGCCAGGCTCAGTTAGCTTCTGCCCTGTGTTGGATCGCAGAGAGTGCATTACATTGTTCTGTCCATGCTTCTTCTCCAGGCCAAAGAAAAAACTAAAGGGAGCATTCATCTCTGTGATGTTTTGGACCCTGGAACGGACCAGTGCACCCTGTACTTTGCTATCTAGCAGGTTGGCTGAAGCCATTTTTTTTTTGACTTGAGGATGTCAATGTATCCTCGATTTCCTGTGGACGCACTCGTTTCTAAGTCCACAATCTCAGCCTCCAGGTCTTTCATAGATCGGCAGGCGTCACGTGTGGCGTTGAGTGTATACTGCTGGCACAAGAGGTTTATCTCAATTTTGCCATGGTCCCACCACTGCCTAAGACATGTAAAATTAGCTTTTCTACATCTAAAAATATTCCAAAAACAACCTAAAACTTCACTAAAACCTTTGTCAAATGTTAATGCTGAATTAAAATGCCAGTATGCACTCTTAGGTAAAATATTTTTTATAACAACACGACATAAAACCAAAGCATGATCACTAAAACCAGCTGGCATTATATTACAACACTTAAAAACTGAAAATGGTACTTAAAACAGTAAAAACGATCGAGCCTGGCTAAGGATACCCTGCCTTCTTTTAGGTGGGACCAAGTATACTGTCGGCAGTCTGTGTGCATCCTC